GATAGTCTTTATGGTGAAGTGCTAAGTGGCTAGGAGAATCTGTTTCTGACTGAAGGTGAGAGTCATCCTACAATCTCGTTCTTTATAGTCTACACAGAAGACGGTTCCAGCCCAAGACTTACTGACAAAGCCATTTTAATGAAACATATAGCATGTATACACATACAAACTCAACACTGAAATGCTTGGGGCCTTAATAGTTGGTCCTAGTTCTAAATAAATATAAAATCTTCAAATAGCCACAAGATGGTTCTGAATGGCCTATTTCATATAAAAGTACAAAGAAGGCTTGATGTTTTTCTCTTTACTGATTGTTTTGGATAACAGCCTCCGACAGCATGCTGCTAATTCATTCTGCTTAAAACAGGCGCTTGAGCTGGGTTGACATTTTACGTAGTCTCTGGGGATCCTGGTTGACATTTTAAAGGGCTTCTAAGCATTTTATAATACCCTAAAATCTGGTTTTAATAAGCCATTCTGCTGAAATTGTTAACATACGGAATCACCTTTTACTGTTTGGCGCGAGATCAGGGACTGGGGGACATCTTTTTCTGATTAGATATACAGTAGTCGGAGCAAAATGTGCAAATTCATTACATGCCCCATGGAGATGACATAGCTCTTCAGCGCAGAGGCAGCCTTAGAGCAGACTGCCAGACTCAGAAGATTTGGGGGAAACAGTGAAGGCTCCTTATTTTCTCTTATTTTGAGCATCAAATATTTTTCATCGTAACTCACTCTTTTGTTAGTTAAATAACCTATTTATTTGTATCAGATATTTTTCTGTTGTAAGTTACTCTTTTGTTATGATGAGGCATTCCCAATAGCCTATTTATTTTCATTGCAAACAGTCTGCAGCAAGCCACTTCCTCATTGGACATGGCTGCAGGCACAAGCCCAGTAACTCTTTTCATCTTTTGGGGGGAAAGGGGCGTTCTACCACAGTGTCTTTGCCACCACCCTCAGTATTTGTAGGATCTGTAGTCAGTTGCTCTTGTCACTGGGGAGCCACTGAGACCAAAACCAACTCACCAGCTGGCTATCCTCACCCGGAGAAATTACTAAAGATTTCAAATGGATTTGCCTCCAAACTGAGACTGCATGGCCCTAGGATGGAGTTGGGCCACTGCATGGCCGTTGGTACTTGAGTATCATAGTTCGGGATTATGAATAAATAAATCTGTAAGCTGAGTACGGGGGGTATGCAGAACCTATAATCCCAGAACTTAGAATATTAAATCAGAAAGACTGGGCCAGTCTGAGCTACCTGGGGAGTACTGTCTCTAAAAGCAAAATGTATTTGTATTTGCAATTACTATGTGGCCCTATTTTAGGATATAGCTTAAGGCTGGGTATTCTTAGGGGAAAGATACTGTCAGAAGTTAAAGCAGGGAGTTTTAATTGTCAACCTACCAACCCAGCATTATGCTCATGGTAGGAAATGTAAGAATGGCTGTCAACCCCAGATAGGTTGCCTTCGGGAGCTAGCATTTTCTTTCCTTAGAGATGTTTTACAGAAAATCTGGGAAGAATTTTCAATACATTGTAATCTAGTTGAATTCCTTTATTTATTTATTCAGTTTTCAGAGAAGGTAGTAGGATTTGCTCTAAGTCAACGGCCCTAGACCCATGATTTTCATTGTATTTCTACTTTCCAGGGGGCTCTTTCTGGTAAACTGACCTTTATAAGCTGATGTGTGGTTTGAAAAGAATTGATCTCCTTCAATAGTTTCTAAATATTATTTGTGTTTATGATGACTCCAGAAGGGTCATCTAATACTAATTGGAAAGTCCCTCCAAAGCAGGGGTTCTCACCCTGTAGGTTGTGTCCCTCAAATAACTTGCATATGAGACATTTACATTACAATTCAAAACATTAGCAAAATTGCAATTATAAAGTAGCAACGAAATAATTTTATGGTTGTAGATCACCAAGAAGAACTGCATTAAGGGGCTGCAGCATTAGGAAGGTTAGGAAGCACTGTTCTAGTGTGTAACATGAGATAGAGTTTAGGGCTGAACTTACAGTCCTATGGCCTGACCACACTGGAAATGCTCAAGTATGGGTTTTGGAAAACAAGGAACTCTGCTAAACCGAGTTTCTGCTTTGGTAAAATGAAACCATAGCAGCTCTCTGAATGGTGTCTGGGGAGCTAAAACACTGCTGGCAAGTTGGCCGGTGCTCTCATGGGAGAGACTTCCCTGTCCACCCCATGATGTGGCATGTGTACCTCTTCTGTACTCCTAAGGAGGATGCTCAACAATGTGCTGGCCCCACCTGAGTCCCATGATTCTGCCTGCTTCTAAGCTCTCCTCTGATTGATGCCCAAGGGAGGGAAGGTCCCTTCTGTGGATGTCATAATAAACTTGAGAAGGAGATACTTTTATCATGATAATTATTGGGGGTGATGGTCCTACTTGAGGGACTACTGAGTAGCAGGAAATAGGGTCTTGTGTTCTTCCTACCTTTCCGTCTTGTTCACCCTTACCTACCGACCTCCCCCCAGTGACTGTATCTGCTCTCCACCACCTCGGAGAGGCTTGCCTTTAAGCACCTCACATTTTCAAGTCAGATCTACACCAGTCAGGTTAGCTTTCCCTTCTGGGTCATGTCACACAATGATGATGAGATTCCAAGCTGAGTCTTGGCGCAGAGATGCGACCGTTCACCATCTGCAGCTGTAGGCAACTCCCATGTTTCGATTTGGAGGGCTCAGGCTTGACTCAGGTTGAGCTAATTGTTTTTCAGAGCAGCATACCTCACCTGCTCTAAGATTTTAAACTCTGGCTTAAGACTACAGCAATTCCAGCACCTGCATTGTCGGCCATACTGACAGAACCAAAGCATCCAACCCATATAAACCCTAAACTGAGAATTATCAGATGCTATACTTAGTGAAGCTTCAAACTTGTTTTCTCTTCCCTCTAAATCCATGTTAGATTCAACACAGAATAAAGAAAAGGGGAAAATGCGTTCAATGTCTATAATGTTGGTTATCTTGAGATGAGGCAGGTTTCCTTTTGAGTTGTTAAATCAAAGTCTTACTCTGTGGGTATTTGTTCTGCTGCTTGTAGTGTTGTTCGCTAGATCATGGAGCATGTGCACGCATGTGTGTAAGAACACATACTTTGGAGGCACATCTGTAGGTGCATGGTGTTGGGTAGTGATTTCATGTGTTTGGAAATCAGTTCTCTCCTCTATGAACACAGGTAAGGGAGGTGTCTACCTTACAGGACTATGGGAGACGATAGTGCAAGGTGGCAGAACAGTCTTTAAAAGGTTGTAGCTTCTTGTGGGAACCCGGGGACTCACACGTGCAGGAGAGAGAGCAACTCGCAGGTGCCAGTTCTCTCCATCCACCACGTGAGTCTGGCTTGACTGATGAGATGAGCCATCCCAGGACCCAAGATGACCATCATCCTGTCCACAGCTCTCACACACAGCAACCCCCCAGTCCGACTCCTCATTATAACCTCGCCCCTAAGGACCTATTTAGAGGAGTTCATCTTCTAAGCACAGTGGTTTTTACAGACATGACTCCTGAAAGCATGTGATTCGTGAACTTTGGTGACAAGTAATGTGCCCTCCACAAAGAAATACGCAACGACTCAGTGAGTTACAGATTCACAAGATGCGATGAATTCACATGGAGCTTTCAGCAGTTAACTGCATCAGATAAAATTCTTGAGCTTCTGAGTGCATAATAAGAAAGTTTAGTTAAACTGTACATTCAAGTCAAAAATAAGCCATTGCCCAGTGCTCATGTCTTTGGGTACATAATTTCCTTGCAGACACCTCTGCTCTTGTGAAAATCTCGCCTTTCAAGTTGATCTTGCTAATCAGAAACATGTTTATATAGTTCTGGAATTTGTCCAACATTTTTTTCTCCATTTCTTTCTTGTTCGCTCTGGCGTCTCTTTTTTTAGGATTCTTAGAAGCACTGCACACTGGCATCCCTAACACCCTTGTCTCCACAGGATCTCGCTGGAAAGCGATGACCAACCTCGAGAAACAGCCATACTATGAAGAACAGGCCCGCCTCAGCAAGCAGCACCTGGAGAAGTACCCAGATTACAAGTACAAGCCCAGGCCGAAGCGCACGTGCCTGGTGGATGGCAAGAAGCTGCGCATCGGGGAGTACAAGGCCATCATGAGGAACCGGAGGCAGGAAATGCGACAGTACTTTAACGTCGGGTATGAGAACCGCATTCTGGCCCTGTATCGCATAGTGCCAACTTCCCATTGTCCAAGGGAATATCCCCATCCTCCACCCTGGCTGTTTACTTGCAAAGCAGCCTTTTGAAAAGGAACCTGTAGGTGGAGACTGCTCATTGGTTTCCTGGACACCCAGAACCAAATAAGCACACAGGAACTATATTAATTACAACACTGTTTGGCCAATGGCTCGGCTTCTTATCAACTAACTCTTACATCTTAAATTAACCCATTTCTATGAATCTGTGAATCACCACGAGGTTGTGGATTACCAGTAAGGTTCTGGCTGGCAGCTCGCATCTTTCTCCTTCAGCAGCTCCATGGTGTCTCCCTGGCTCCACCTATTCTCTCTCTATATCTCTCCCAGCCTGACTATATTCTGCCCTGCCATAGGCCAAAGCAGCTTCTTTATTAACCAGTGGTAATAAAAACATATTCAAAGCCTACAGAGGAGAATCCCACATCAGGAACCTGCAGTCTTTTCCAACCCTGTATGTAGCCCTGAAAATGTACATAGCGTAACTACAGACAGATGTTTTTCTAAGTTTGCATGTGGAGTGGCGTCCTCTGCGAGCTGCCTGCTCTCCTGAGTTTTATTCACAAGTTATTTGAAAGCAGAGTCAATAATAAATGTAGTCCTGATGTCTGATATTACAAACTTAGAGCACGCAGGACTAGATCTCGCCAGTTCTCTTCCTGGCTGGTGTCTGTGATTTCCAGCAGTTGGCCATGATAAATTTCACCACTGGTAGTTTAGTCGATATAGCACAACATTACAGTAGCTCCAAAAAGAAGCGCTTGTGTCTGACGAGTGTAGAGTCTCTCTCTCTCTCTCTCTCTCTCTCTCTCTCTCTCTCTCTCTCTCTTTCTCTCTCTCTCTCTCTCTCTCTCTCTCTCTCTCTCTCTCTCTCTCTCTCTCTCTCTCTCTCTCTCTCTCTCTCACACACACACACACACACACACACACGACAATAGAGATTACATTTAGGACACAGCAAGGTCATGCACAGGAGAATTCACCCTGAACTGAGAACCCTAGGATGCTCTCCTCTGCTTTCCATAGCGAGGCCGTGCACAGCGATGCTACACACTGCCTATAGCAGCCCTGCAGAATTCTCAAGCTACATGGGAATAAGGTCATTCATACTTAAAACAGTAAGATCGGGAGAACTTAGGATACTAAATGCCACTCTGGGTATAGGCAGAAGGTGGCTGAATAATAAAAGAAAGGAGCTCATACCTGCCACGGACCCTGCAGGGTCCGTGTGTTCTGGGCAAGGCTCTGGGAGGCCCCCACTTCTGGAGTGTATAGGAAATGAGTGAGTAAACGAATTGCCCAGACAGATGCCTGTGTATCCCATCCTACCAGGGGCAGCTAAATTGATCACTACGGTGCAGTGCAAAACCGAGAAGACAGAGTCCCCAGGCTAAAAGGTTTTAAAGCATCTCAAGTGGGACAGCAGGAGTTGGAAACAAGCGTGGAACCGTAGGCAATTTCTGGGGTGGTATGTCTTTAAGCGGGGGCTCTGCCTCCTACCCCAAAAGGGCCCACACCGTTTCACACAATAGTTAGATAACATGATAGCATTACCCTCCCATGTTTTGGGGACCATGGCATTATTTTGAAAGTTCTAAACAGTTTAGAGATTTTGTCCATTGGGCTTGAACTATCTTTAGGCTCCATTATAGGAAAAGCAAACAAAACTTCCTTCCATTTGCCATAATGAAGGCAAGTGAACTGGGAGGCAAACTCTTGGGTAATTTGGCTTAATCTTTCTGTCTCAGATTTTTTCCTAATAATAAAAAATTAGGATTATTTTAATTATCAAGGGGTAATTCAACTAAATGTCTCCAATTCTCTGAAGCCCGATGCAGGCAGGTAAGGCTTCAGAATCAACGTGGGATGCCATTTCAGCGTGTCCCATGATTGGGTAGACGCTGGTTCCAGTTAGGGTGGCGCTGAGGCACAGGGAAGCTGAGACGTCCTGTGCACACTCATCTTCTCTCTCCGCGACAGGCAACAAGCACAGATTCCCATCGCTACTGCTGGAGTTGTGTACCCTGGAGCCATCACCATGGCAGGAATGCCGTCACCTCACCTGCCCTCGGAGCACTCGAGTGTGTCCAGCAGCCCGGAGCCAGGGCTGCCCGTGATTCAGAGCACTTATGGCGTGAAGGGGGAGGAGCCTCACATCAAAGAGGAAATCCAGGCCGAGGACATCAACGGGGAGATTTACGACGAGTATGACGAGGAGGAAGATGACCCCGACGTAGATTATGGGAGTGACAGCGAAAACCATATTGCAGGACAAGCCAACTGATAAGGGCCCACAGACTGCGGTGAGCTGAGGACTTAACGAAGCCCTAGCTGGCCCATCCTTACCAGTGGCCAAGCACATTAACTTTCTCGTACACTGACTGTTATTTTAACTGTTAGTCTTAAATAGTTGGGACATCAGCTGACAAATAGACCTCAGCCTCAAAAGGCTCGGAAAGGAAAACAAAATGTTTCAAGCAAACAACATCAACCACGAGAGATTGAAATAAGCTATGGTAAAACAAAGCCAGTAACTCAGCTGCTAAACCCAGCACTGAAGTCTCGCCCGTCAACTTTTTTTTTTTTAATAAACTTTATGGCTGTTTGTTCTATAACTAGAAATTCTCACTCAGGTACACAGTGCCAACAAGTGGCTTGTGAATGTGTTTCGTTGTTTTGTGCTACAATTTTTAAAAAGAAATACGTTTTGTTTTGTTTTGTTTTGTTGGGGGGAATGGTTCTGGGGTTTCCTTTTACCTTTTCTTTCCTTTCTTCTCCTTTGTGATTGTCGTCTTGCACCTGACAGAAGGAGGGAACGGGGCCTTCGACCCCTCTGCCCTCTGCATCTCTCTGCTCTAAAGATGGAGGCCTGTGTGCGAGGGTGGGGAGAGAGGAGAAAAAGAGCCTGGTTTTGCCTTCCTTGCTTCTGTGCCCCAGTGTCAGCAGCCGTTTGCTTTAGAGACCTCTAACTCTTGCACACAACACTACATCTTGGAGCAAGTGCCAAATCCATCCTGAAGCGATCACCAACTTCCTTTTCTAAGTCCTTCCTTACTCCTGCTCCTTCTTCCGTGGGGACAGTGTTAAATCTTAGACGGTCCCCAGAAAGAGCTGATACACCAGCAACTGGTGAGATTGATTTTTTTTTTTAATGGAAACTGTAGGTGCCGTTCTCAGGTGAAAAGAGAGAGAGAGAAACATAGAAATTTAGAGAAAAAAAATATTTTCTGATCTTGGATTTCTGTGTGTGTATGTGTGATCATGGTACATTAGCTACATTCCTATTAGGGAATAATGTTGGGCCATTGTGAGCAAAACCCACTTTTGGGAATGGAATCCCAGCCCTCCTAAGCAAGTGGTCTAGAAGCAACCTTGCCCTTGGCTTTGCCCGGCCAGTGACAGTGGAACTAAGCGTAGGGCTCAGAAATTCTATTTTTCAGTTTCTAGTGTGCTTATTACTGGGTGGACCTGGTGGCCCTGTGTCACGGAGAGGTGCTTGGCCAACATGGAAGCTACCAGTCAAATGGTTCCTGAGGTCCCTTCTCCCTGGACAATTTGCTTCTTTTAATGTGTGCTACTTAGTAACGTGTGTGTATGTGTGTTTCCTGTTGAAACTTTGAGCAAAACAATCATTGTTTTGACCGACTATATTTGGCCATTTTTCAGAAATACAGAATTAGCTTGTGTCTCCACCATTCCACCCCTCGCTGATTGGGAAACAGAACTGCTCTATAAGATTTTTTTTTTTTGCATCTCTCCCTGCAATGAGGTCAGAGACTGTATTTCACAAATGGGGGCCATGTGTATTTCATGCCCTAAGATCCCAGGATTTGGTTAAAATTCACTACCGCACCACAAAGTGGAGCCTGGCTGGACGCAGAGCCCCTTACCACTGTCTGGTCCTTCACTCTGACTCTTGAGTCGGCTAAAGATCAATGCTGGTGTCAGCAGAGCCCATGCTCAGAGCAACAGCTGCTGGCTCTGACATCGCCAACCCAAAGGCCAAGACAGGGGTAGGGCCTGCACCAAACACAGTCACTCCGGGTCACTTCCCCTTGGTAGCGCTGTAGTCAGTGACCGAATATGGGACAGTGTTCCATCTCGCTCTCATTCTGCCCCACCAAACACCGCCCTCAAGTTTGATTTTCATACATAATGAATAGGCAAAGAAAAAAAAAAAGAAAAAGAAAAAAATCTTTTTGCTTTTCTCTCTCTCAAAGTCTTGCTCTGGAGGTTTGCTTGGAGGAGCTGATCATACCTGCATGTCAGAGGTTTGGTTCTATTTTCTGTTTGTGGTTTGTTTGTTTTTTTTTTTAATGACTGTATTTTCCTTTGAATTGCCTCTTTTTTGCTAGTGTTGTAAAATGATGATAAAATAATAATAATAATAGTAATAATATTAATAATAATAATGGTCAGCTGTTCCCAGATTAGTAAATTATGTATAATTTATTTTATTTCTCCCTATTTTATTCTGTTCTGATTTGGAAGCACAGCCAGTAAGCTGTTAGGTATTTAAAACTAATATCTATTTCCAGCTCATACACACATGTACACCCATGCATGTGTGTGTGCATATGACACACACATACTCACCCACACACTTGCTTCTCTACCCGTAACTTCCTCTGTGTTAACAGTTTTGGCCCCAGTAGCGTCAGTTCTGGTGTTTAATACAAAGGGGTGTATTAGGAGGAGGATCGTGTTCAATCTTAATTAACTTATGCTCTTTTCTCTCATTTTAGTTATTTAATTACCAATTATCTAGAGCCAACTTTTTGATTTTGTTTTGTTTTGAAGCACTCTGAATAAGAGAAAAATGGACACTTGTTTTTCTACCATTATAACATACAATGTGAAAACAGGTTTATAAAAACTATTGTTTCTCTGTGTCTGTTAACAAAGCCTCCTGACTGATGTGGGTTCTCCACCTCTGCGTGCTGCGTTCCTGTTCTACAGCACATTCTAGACAAGCTTGCTTTTCATTTCCTGACCTTGGGCAACAAGAATACTTTGTTTTAGCTCCAGGTAGATGCTACTGAAGGCATCCATGGCCCAAATCCATCCCAACCAAGCGCTATCTGAACAAACTCTCTCTTTGGTTTGCATTTGTTTTGTTTGAAGGGAAAACAGATTGTTCATGGTGACCTACAGCTGCCAAACCTCTCCAGGTTAGTTGAGTTTAAGTCCGTGATTGAATTGTGCCCAGGCAAAACCACAAAGCAAGTCTGTAATGTCCCGTCATGGTCTGTTCTGACATTTTCTTCAGTGGATGTTGAGTTTGCTTTGCCCAACAAAACCAACAAAAACAAAAGTAATTCTATTCATGTCTAAAGTGCACTGAAGTCACTTGAGGGGAAAAAAAGGTGCTTTTAATAGCAACATAACTGTGTTAAAACTTTGCCCTTTGGGCCTTTGATTGGGTGATGATTCTTGTGAAGGATCCTAAAACCTTTTGTTCTTGTCTATGCCACACAATGACCAAATAAGATATGGTATAGGAAATAAGACACAATGAAAAGGTCCAAGTTAGCAAACTGCATCCCTCCTCCTCCCCTTCCTCTCTGTTCAAGCCACACCCCTACCTTTTCTCAGCATCCCAACATTTATAACAACACTGAAGAATAATACTGCCAGTTTCTCCTTTTTTATATTTGTAATTGGTACCTCTAAATATCATCCTGTTTGATATAAATCTAAGAAAAATATTTACCAGAAAAAAATGGGTTAAAGTTGTTTGTAAGTTAATGATAATTTGGCTAGTTACTACAAGCAGGAGAAACACAGGCCCATGTGTGCGTACACCTCCCCACCCCCTAATACATTAGTATATTTTTATTCAGATTAGTTAAGTGAACTTTGAAAGTTCATTTAATATCTAGCTAAGAATTACCTTTGTGCAAAACACCTCCCAATAAACATATTTATCATGGTTAAAACTAAATCTTCCCATAGGGAATGAATATTAAAGTGTAAAATGTTCTTTAATGAGGTCACTTCATATATTTGATTTCTAAAGTACAGTTAACTTAGTTCACCTAAAGGAAATTATCTTTACCATTTAATGGTCCATTTCCAAATATTTTCTTATGGCAGAAGCTGATCCTGTTCTCAGAGGAATCCTCTTCTATCTCATTCAAAAACATAAGAAATAATTATACTTTCCTTACTCTAAAGGGTAAATTATTGAATTGTAATAACTGTATATTTACAGACAGGTTTATAAAATATTTGTCTATCAAGTTAATAGTGAAATACAACTTCACAAGGTTTGAAAAAAACCCACTTAAAGTGGCTGAGCTTTCTCTGTATTGTAGGGCATAGGCATTTCTTTAGCCAGGTTTATACAGTATTTAATTTTGAAGTTCCGCAGGTTGAAGGTGACGTGTAAAGTTTCCCACTGATGGGTCCCTGTAAGCCCCAGTGTGCCTGTCACTGGTCCACTGAAACAGTATTTATTCAGCTCCCCTGGCTTGAACGCACTTAGTCTTTCTAACAGTTTGGATTTCAGAAGTGAAAAAGTTTTGTTTGATTGTTTTTTTTTTAATGATTAAAAAAAATAGAGAAGAGACAATCAATGCCTGGAGCTTAAAACAAAGTATGTGCAAACTACCATCTCACTTGAAATTTAATAAAATAAAAAATTGTGTAAATATAACATAGAGTTATAGATTTCTATTTTGTTCATAACACATAGTGTAATATAAGTTGTATATTTTCATGTTTTTTGGTTTTATGTTATCATTCATGCCACAATAAAAATAAAACAGGAGTTTGTGTACTCTTGGGGAAAAAAAAAAACAAAAATAAGATGTGGGTTCCCACCAACCTGTTTTTTGCTTTTCTGTTTTTGTTTTCATTTCCTTTTGTTTTGTTTTGCATTCCCTTTTTCAGTATTACTGCCGTGCAAGGCACCAATAAAAACAGCAAATGTGTTCTTTATCTATTATACTCTGTTTCTCTGCACAATTTATTTATGAAAGAGTAACTATTCATTTATGAGACAAAGAGAAGTCTGGAGAACCTGTTCCCTCGCTGTAAACATCATGACACTGACCCTCTCTGAACTGAAAACTATGGACTTCATGCTTAAATGTGGACAATCCTAAAACAGTACCCAGTCAGGAATCCACCCCGAGTCCCCTCTTGTGTCACTGACTCTGAGACAACACTTTCCGTATCTCCTAGGACACGTCACTGGGTGAGGGCTGCTATTCTTACACCCCATGGTTACACTATCTCGCAGTGTGTGGCTGCCACATTTCCTAATATCAGCTCACAAAACTAAGAACCAGGAAGGATTTTCACCTCAGTGAGGCTCAGTTTTAATTGCTTACAACACACCTTAGCCTCCAGCGTTGGTGATCCATTATGAAGCTGTTGTTAAAAACACACACCCCTTTTTCCCCCCAAAGGCGATTTTTGCTCCCAACATTGTGTGTGTTTTGGTCCTGATACTTCTGTGTGGTCACACTTTCCTCTGAGGGTCCTGAGTTACTGCTTGGTTTGGGGGCTTGTCTGTAAGCAGTATCAGTTACGTGAGCTAGAACCTTCCGTGAGTGCTTGTAGAACACACGTGGAGGCTGAGCAGTTGCTGCTCTGCCGTCTGTCACTATAAGGAGCAGGTTGCAAAGGCTGAACTAACTACTGGAAGTACAGAATCTCAGGCCCAATCCAAGATGTCACCAATCAGAATCTGGGACACTAACCCAGCTGCTGACATCGCTCAGCTCCAAATGCTGTATGCGTGCTGATAGCGCCACACCATTACCTATTTGGTTTGGTAAGAGGGGCTGTCTTTTTCCACTGCACCTACCTCTCTCTTGCATGTGCAATATGGCGTTTATTGCTGTCTACCATGTTTGCACACGGACATTAGGCCTCTGCAGAATACTTGACACCTCGGACAGAGAACATGCTTAGTCTCTCTCACATGAATGGCTTTGAGAACATTGGAGACATCACTACAGCAATAACCCTTCTCTCAGCATCTAGGAGTTCGCTTAGCCAAACAATAGGTTTCAGATACTCCAGAGAGCAGGGGCACCAGAAACCTCATAGACACACATAAAGCACAACGAGATGAGGTTTGCAAAACATCGTTCTGAACTGAAAACATCCATCCTGGACTTGGGAAGGGCTGTGTTTGGACACACCCTCAGACCCTCTGGAAGCAGCTTCATCAGATTTTAGATGTGGAAAATCTGAGCTGTTAAGGAAAACTCACTGTCCTTGCTCTCTTCCAAATAAAACTCCCTCAGCTGCATTTTACAGCGGTTCAGTTTAGATACCCCAGCGTTATGATCTCCACGGCTAAGGATGTGATAGAGACTCTTGCCACCTGCCACCAAAGACTTGAGCAACTGCAAGAGTCTCAGCCACCAAGGAAAAGATTCCCATTTCTCTAAGTTCAACACTTCCATTTAGTATTCAGACAGTCAAGTTTTGCATTAAAGATGCCATCATTGTTGGCATATTTATACTTGTAAGTATCCTTTCTGTAGCTTCACCATGTTACTGCAGCTTGCTACAGCAAGAGAGGCAAAGAGACACAGAAAACAGTCCCGGGTCTCATGTCTAGATGAATCGTTTATGAAAAAAATCCAAAGTTTATGAAGGAATCTAAGAGCTAGCGGGGAAACCTGTTCCATAAGCATTGTGATTATTATGCAAATAGTATTGCTGGGAGTTCTGTAAGATAGCTGCATTTTCTTAAGCAGGCTGAACATCTGGCCTACAATGTGTTACTCTACCAATTTGCTTAGCAAGCTATTTTTGCCCCAAAGAATGAACTAATTCAGCTCTGATCACAAGGTGCCATTATTTTTTCAGTCAGATCCAAGTACACAAAGTTGTACGTTCACAAAACCAGTATTTACACATGCAAGCAACCATGACCTAGAATGATCCTCCCATCCTATTATATATACAGTGTTCAATATTCAGCCATGAGGATCTATGTTAAAACACCATCATAATCAGCATGCATTCCAGATAAAGGAAAATACATTAAACAAGCCGAAAAGCTGTAGTAATTAATGGGCCCAAGTACACATCTATTTTGTACACAACCTGTTCAATTTATTATTAAATTTCAGAATCTGGGAAGAAGTCCCAATTACACACAAACTGTAAAATATATTTGAAATAAAGTCTTCATATATAAAAAAGTCAATGTCAGAATTTTTAAAATATATATTTTTAATATTTATGATAAAAGCATACTGTCCTGCTAGAAGGCGGTGTATGGAGGTAAGGCAGTGCATAGAACGGTTTCAGAAAGGCCAGCTAGACAAATTGATGAGAACGGCCCTGCCAGCGTTCACCTCCCCGTGTCTCAACCTGACACCCAGTAAGTACAGTTTCTTGGCTCATCTACCACTTGGACTAGCAGACCCCGGACAATGGACACAAACTGCCCTTTCTTATTTAGACATGGTCCTGTAAGCAACCCCCTGCCCTACTAGGTTAACAGGCAGGACTGGAATGAACTATTTGGGGGTACACGAAGGGGTGTTTCCTGGGTTTGAAAACAGATACCTTTGGTAGTGTTTAGGCATAAATACTAGTACGGATCTTTTGAGAGAAAACTTTAGGTTCTTTTCATTAAGGAATTATCAACTTCTTAGGCAACCAAGCACACAAATCTTCAATATTTTAAAGTTATCATCAAAGATGTGCTAAATGTGTATTTATTTTTTATTATGAAAAGTATTAAAAGTCCCTTTAACTTTTCAGATATTTCAAGATTCTTTATTTTGTAAATGGAAAAACCTTTAACAACTTTTCTATATCTTCAGGGTAATGTTTAACTCACAGAGGTGGAGATTATATCATAGAGAGGCATCTAGACCTATACCTAAATATCTAAATCCATGAAAATGAATGAATGGTAAGAATAAAAGGAGAGAATTTACGGAAGCTGTAGAGTTGTCTTTGTCTTACTGCATGAGTGCTTGTCAACTCTTCAGGGAATGGCCTTACCCTGGTCTGTCTTTCTGGAATAAAAGCTAAACTCTTGACGAAGTCCCTAAGCCACTGGCACCCAGGATAGCAGATTCGTCAATCGCTCTGCCTTCCTCTCCTTTCCTCATGCTGTGATAAATACCATGACAAGGGCCCACAGCCCCAGGTCCTTCATCACAGGGAAGACAAAGCAGCAAGGGCCAGCTCAGGTTCTCTACTCTCATAGTTCAGAATCCCCTTCCTAGGGAGGGATGTCACCTCTAGTGAGCAGCCTCCCACTTCCTAGGGAAAGATGTCACCACCAGTGAGCTGGCCTCCCACTTCCTAGAGGAGGATGTGTGAGTAGCCTCCCACTTCCTAGAGAAGGATGTGTGAGTAGCCTCCCACTTCCTAGAGAAGGTTGCCACCTCCAGTGAGTGAGCCTCCCACTTCCTAGGGGAGGATGTCACCACCAGTGAGCAGCCCCCCACTTCCTAGGGAAGGGTGTGTGAGCAGCCCCCCACTTCCTAGGGAAGGATGCCATCTCCAGTGAGCCGGCCTCCCATTTCAACCATGGCATCCGGATAACCCCTCCCGGGCATGACCCCAGCCAGTGTGAACTAGACAATTTCTCATTGAGACTTCCCTCCCGTTGACCCTAGGCTTTGTCAAATTGCCATTTAAGGATAACCAGGACATACTCTTTCTTCCATTTTCAAAATTCCTTCTGACTTAAATACAGAAGTACAGGACTGCCTGCATACTTTTTTAAATGATCAGGAAATACACATAAGAAAGATTAAAATCATTAAAATGACACATACACGACACTATATAAACACATAGACATGCATATTTGTATATTGTGTGTTTGTGTGTGTATGCGCATGCACGGAATAAGCTTGGAAACTCTAATAGCTAAACAGATGCAGCTCTTATTTTCAAAACAGTCAGGGCAAACAAGATATCCAGGATTAGAACACTCTTATTACTTAATTGAAAGAGCCTTGCAAGTTTCTGATGAGACACAATCCTCTCATTGTCCTAAATTCGCAGATGGATTTCACACTTAAGGGCTCACAGACAATGCCAAGAGCCCCTTTTTCTGTAAACAGATTGACATCAGCTGTAGATGTGTTTCCCGCCTGCCTCCTCCATCAGTGCTCTCGCAGAGTTTTATAAAGACAGTTTGCAGGGGGTCTGAAAGGAGAGGGTACACATCTGAATAGATAACAGGATATATGGATTAGACAGGGATTTTCACGGATAAAGCTGGAAGAAATGTGTTATGATGAATATTTATCATGTCCCAAAGACTGGCTTTTTCAACTGCTGGATGTTTCAAATTGTCTTTTAATTAATGTTCATTACGATGAGAATATACGAGGCAGAAGACAATATTCCTTCATTCACAATGTGCGATCTGCAAGGAAATAAGATCAACAGACATTAAGCAACATTAAGCAAAAATGCAGGAAAGTTATTAATGAACCAGAATTGCAAGCGATAAACGATTTCAAATGAAAATTAGAATTATTTCACTGTTGACTGTGGCTTCTCCTTTCCAATAGCACATAACAGGCCTTGAAAAGCTAATCTCCTACTAGAAATAGAGAAAGCTGAAAAAAATGAAGTCTTCTAAATTTTGTTTTGTGTGTGAGATTGGGTTTTGTTCCATAGTGCTTGATTGCCGGTGACATAGTGACATACAGAATTGGCAGTTCTACGTGTGCCTGGTACAGCCATGTACTACAGAGCCTCATCCTCAAAACTGTATTTTAAAGACAGGTGAGAACTTAAGAAGACACACAGGATAGATGAGCCATAATTTCAGAAAAGCAGAAATTCATCCAAAGTAAATCTGATGAGCACTGACATTTGTATTTAGCAAAGGCATGAAACGAAATTTGAGCCTTGCCATACAGCTAGGTAACCACTCAAAAACTGGAGAAAAGGGCACATTGGGCCCCACACTGCTTCAAAGCATGGCAGCAATCACTGGGA